GGTCGCTTCCACAAAACTAGTGTCACAATAGCAGCAACTCTATTGCCAGAGATTCTGGGTTAATTCAGTGCACGGTAACAGCCAAAAAGCTCCTGAGATAAATAATAAATTTAGGATCGTCATGTAGCTAATCATTAGGATAGCAATGATTGTATCGATGTTGTGCGTCTCATAAAGAAGGCCGATTTGAATTTAGCATGGCAAGAACAACCTCGAAAAATTCATGATACACTGCAAACGACTTTATTTTCGCGAATTTCGCGAATCGCCTACAATTCGCGAAAAAAAATGTAAACACATTGGAATCTATATCGCGACCGCACCGCGTCACGAAAATTAGAATCCGCGATTTATTCCAAAACTGCGGCCTCTTGGACGCCTCGATTTCACGATTTACTTGAGCGTGTTTCAGCTGGAAGATATAGACGAGCTATTATTATTTTTTTATAACTGTAAGTATTATTCAAAGTAACAAGAAAGTTGCCTACCTGCAAGTGTTTCCGCAAATTGGAGGTCGCCTTTCGGTTTATTGAATTTGTTTTCAGAAACGGTCCGGAGAGTTTGCTCCTCACGATTATAGTTTTTTACATTGGTGCTAATCTGTTTAGAGAATTTTTCGCAACAAGGCCCCGGCAGCCTTTCCTTTTCCATTGTAGATAAGACTGTTGCAGCTTCTCAATGCAAAGCAGCACTGCGCGCCTCGGGGCGCTTCCACAGGCCAAGACGAGAGGACAACGCGTGGAGGGTCACGATAGAGGTGTAAAAACAAAGTGCAAGCCAAGCCCTCTATAAAAAAAGAAGCCTTCAACGAACTACAAATGCAAAAACAAGCTCCCTACAGCTAAAGCCGCGATTTGTAAGTTTTGGAATCTCGTCCAATCAGGCTGACAAACGGTTGAAAGGGTTAGGTAGAGCGAACACTAAATAATGAAGATTTATACAAAAAGGTAGACGAGGATTGGGAGAAGGAAGAGCAGTGTAGCAAGAACAGTTGGAAGTAAGGCAGGGTGAGTCATGTTAATGAGACCTGCTGCTTCTTTACTTCTTCGCCTCGATGTTAGAGTAGCACGACTTACTGTTAGTGGTATCAACATACGAGATAGAGGAGAAGGACGTGAAAAACTCATAAAGAAAAGAGAATAATTTCATGAACAAAAAAGTTCCAAACTTGACCGAAATATGTAAGCGAATATGCTAGCGGCGAAGACGCGTAAGGAGAACCTCGAACCTCCCCGCATCGACCGGATGATGTGATCGGAGCCAACCAGCTCGACTTCGACCTCCGATGCCCCCGTGTGGGAATGAGAAATAAGAAAGACCCCTAGAAGCTGGAGCAACAGGAAGCAAACGAGACGAAGAGTCAGATTCAACTACGACAGGAACGAAAACGGACGCGAATGTAGCCCTCATTTATCAAATTATTTTTCAAATTCTTCATTAAATCGTTTTACAGTCTACAAAATCCTTCATTCCGTTCTATCCCAGCCTTTCTTTCCCATCCCTCTTTTCCATATTTTTTGAGCAGGTTGGGAGACGCTCTCTCCCCTGTCGCTTTGGCTGTGCTGTCGTCTCCGTGGCCAGGGGGGAAAAGCGCCGCCGCCACAAAATCTTGCAAAAGTAATTGTAATTGTGCCTGAAATTTAGCAATTACTGACGCTAGAAAGTAATTAAATTACAATTACAATTCCTTTTAGCCAAAAGTAATTATTACAATTACAAGTTACCAGGAAAAGTAATTAAATTACAGTAATTGAATTACTGTAATTGAATTACTACCCAAGTATGATATATACTACCCTCGCGTGCGCTCACAACTTCTAAGGCAGTGTTAAGGTGTCAACGTAATTTAGTATGTTATATTAATTTAAACCAAAAACCCCAGGGAGGCGAGATTTAATCGTGTTTTTATCAAAAAGAACAATCAAAATGAATGAGTCATTTTTATAAAACGTTGCAATAAAGGTTCATAATTAATGAACTGAGCTAGCGATCTTTGGTCCTCCAACAATCTGAACATATTTATTTTAATAATATTGCAGTAATCCCATCTGCATAAATTTAAGAACATAGCTGTATAGACAGGGACCCACTGCTTCATTAACTTTTCACAAAGCTTTCGTTTTGAGATAGGTTCCCAAATAGCTGTATATTGACTTACCCATTGAACCATTATTGGTGTGTCTCCAAGTGCACTGGTGGCTCGTCTGACGTCTTTGTCTGAGGTCCCTCCAAAACTAAATCTGAAAAAGCAAAACAGCACGTGTGGCGCCAACAAAAGTCGCAGTTTAACCTAAAAATAAATTTCCTAGAATAATATTCGCACCAGCACCATGAACAAATTTTATGTTTGCACATGTCAGGTCAACGCCAATGACCTGCAGCATTCATTTTTTTCTTTTTGATGAAGGTGTTCTTCGGCTGTCAATACTTCGCTTTTGTTCTAAGCGGAAGTGATGTTTGGTGCTTAAGTTAAGCATCTTCAACCCTAAAAAAAAAAAAAAAAAAAAAAAAAAACACAGCAAACGTAGTCACAGTTTGTAAGAGTCCTTCCTTTAGCTCCTGACAAAACGTTTTTCTGAGAATCTTCAACAAAAAACATCTTAACAAAACAAAATTCTTAACATCCAAATACCTCTTTAACGTTGAAGTTCTGAACAGCAATGAACTCAGTCACGTTTTTTCGTTATTTATTTCTGTACACCGGGTAACATTCTTCACGCACGTTCATCGCCACTTGGCATATTCTTAGGAAACGTTGAACGCTATTCTTAAACAAATCGAAATTGCTTCTCAATACAAACACCAATATGTTCTTTTATGTTCATTGGTTTTGTTTGCTAAGCTATAGGACCCACAGAGTCTCCAGTTTTTTTATTTGCAAAGGCCATTTAAACCATCTAAGCACTTGCTTTTTTTTTCACTTTAGTGGAAATCTCTGACATAATTATCAACAGCTAGTGATATATTAGAAACACTTCACTTAACCGTCTGACGTTCCAAAAACTAGGCAACGCTTTTAGTTTTCCGTGATAAATAAATCGAGCAGCTAGTAAAATATTTTCAATGACCACCTAAGGTCTCAATGTTGTTCTTGCACCGAGAATAATTTCGTAGCGAGTATCGCATTCTTTAGACTATTGGAACTTTCTTGTCATTGGGTGTTCTCTGCTAAAAACAAACTTAAAATTACGCAATTGTTCTCATCGGAAAGAGGTATTTTTGACAAACATTGGGGCCACCACATTCTTATTCATACGTTTGGTTAGACGAGAATTCAAATAATAAGTTGTAAATTCATCAAATAATGCGAAATGTTTAACTCAAGAAGCCCGACATTTTCCTTAACTGTAGCTTTCACCTCATATCAAAAGGTGCATAAAAAGCAATCGCTTCTCCATTTAAGATGAAAATAAAATTCAAACTTTCAATGTTGGTTCGTCCTAAATATAGCGATTTAGGATAACTGTCGTGAAACTAAAGCCTGGTATAGTCAAACATTTTACTGGTCAATCGAAAAGGTATCCAAGGCTAAATGCATTAGTTTGCTTACGTTACTACTAGAACGAATATTAGCGTGGTGGAAGACGTCTGAGACATTGTAGAATAATCCAGTACTTCCCTACATCCCTCATCTACACTGCGCTCGTTGGTGTCCTGAATGATAGCGACATTGATTCTCATAAAAGTCTATTAGTCTACCGCCTAATTCATCGCTTACCATCGTCGTGGTGCTTGTCGTCTTGAGCGGATTCAAGAGAACGACCTCTGTGGCCTGGATGGATTCCATCGCGTTGACCGGGCAGAACAAACGGGCCATAGTAGACCCGTTGCTGTGGCTCAGGTTGCGCTGGCCTTGAGTCGGGGTAGACAAGCTGGCGGGAAACAATTTCTCCAGCCTCGATCTGCTTTAATTGGGGAGACGAATACGCAGAAGGGAACGTCTTGGGGGGTTGTCCATGTTGATCTCCACTGGGTTGGTAGTAAGGCGGAGGGTGGCCCTGGTGACTGTAGTCATTCGTTTGTTCACTGGGGCCGTAGCCTGGCTGGTTAGCTGGCTGGTGACTCGGTTGAGAGATTGGATGGTTGTAAGGAACATTAACAGAAAGATAACCGGGCTGATAATAGGTCTGATATTGAGATGGCTGATGACCGGACGGGTGTTTGAAGTGGTGGCTTGGCTGGTTGCTATGTACGTAGCTTGAATGGTGACCCGGTCCGTTGACGAGAGGGGGATGGGGTTGATTGACAGGTCGATAATTAGGCTGGTGACCAGGCTGGTGCGCGTAGTTCGGTTGGTGCTGGGGCCGGTACTGTGGTATTTTGGGAGGAATGTGTGCTGGACCACTGACATATGGGTTTCCATGGAAGACGTCTGGCCTGTGTTGAGGCCGCTGTCCAGGAAATAAACCTGGTCTTGGTGGTACATGGTGGGTATTGTATTTTGGACCATTGATATGTGGAATTCCGTGCTGGAACACTGGTCTGTGCTTAGGCGGCTGACCAGAAAGGTGACTTCGTATTTGTTCTGGTCCGGGCGGGTAAAAGGGTGGTAGTCGTGGAGGAACATGTGGCAGCTTTACCATTGGAGGTACAGCTGTGTACAACGGATGGATCTCCGGAACTGCCAGAGCTGTAAACAAGAAACCAAAACAAAGTAAAACACGGTGGTGAATATACACCTTTAAAGCGCTTTAAAGGCAGCGAAGGAAACTATTGGAATGGATTATATACACTAAAATAACATTGGTGGGGTGACTCGACCAAATGCATTAGCTACCTTTTCGCGTAGTCATAAACACTGCGAGTGGCATATAAAAATGTTCACGATTACTCTACTTATATTATTCGAAGTGCCTTCAACAAATCAGGGAAAACCCAAGGTGACAGTCACAGCGCTTTAAACCGCTGTTAAAAGTCAATCAAACCAGGTTCGGTTGAACTACTGCTTCAGAAGCCATCAATGTGACAAACGCAAACATCCCACTGGTGTTAAGTTGTTTTCAAAATATGAAACTGCTTTCTAAATTCTCAGCAGCAATTTTATGGTTTGCTTTATGGCCTGTAATTATAAAAGCACACATTATCTCACTATGCAAAAACAACTCGCCGAATTGAAAGCTAGGTCCTACCAATTCTCCAACCTTTTTGTGGCACATTTGGCTTCTCCACGGCACGCTTGGGGTGAATGAGTGGCTTCACTACCACTGTAATGCTGTCCGTCTCGGTCTCCTCTGTCGTAATCCCTTTGGTATGAGTTGGTGCCACCAGTTCGTCGACACCCGACACTACAGGATCGTCGGGATCATAGCCCTTGGCAGTTTCACTTCCATTTTTGTCGCTACCTTCACCTGGCATATGCGAGTTATTAGGTCTAGTCACAACGGCAAGCGACCCCTTTCCTGCATCAGACCCCTTTTTTCTACAAACACTCTCCGCCTTTAAATTCTGCCGGCGGGGAGATAACAACCACGATGCTCACTGGCTAGTCCCTTCGTGACTGCCAGTTTCTTGGTTTGTAACACACCATATAGACCGACACGCGGAGCGGCTCTGTTTACCAACACGGCCGGAAGGCCGCGCATGCGCGGTAGCTATGTGGGCAAAAGCAGCCCGGCTCTCCGTGTTTTCGCCATTGCGCTCTATGGCGTGCGCTCGTTGTTGACGTTGTAGGGACGCTTGTATCTTTATTTGTGCGTCGTATTTCCTCATAACGTATGTCGTATGCTATGCCCGACTATTTGAGGTCGTTGCCCGAGCCTGAACGGTAGCGGTATCGAAACAAACTGTGCGTGGACGGCGTTGCCTACGAGGACCCGTACGCCGTTAACAAGGCCTGCTGGACTTCCGACGTAAAGTTGCTGCCACGGAAGTCGACGGCTCAGGTCGTCGTTTATTTAGTTTTTTCGCCAAGCCAGTTCACGGCCGACACGGTGCAGGTGTACAAGTCTCTCGAGGTCTACGATTACATCGAGTCGGTTTCCGCACTGCCGGAGGGATCAGCAGACTGCGGGTCTGCGGAAGTGTGTGTATCCATTAATTGATTAAATACACAGAGCGTCTTCAAGTTTAGGTATGATATTTTTCATACCCTCATGACCACAAGGCATTACAACCAGTAAAGATTTGTCCGTGCTGCAGTCTTGGCGATAACAGGTTACAAGTAACGGCGTTACCAGGAAGGCGTTACTTTTTTCAGTAACGTAGTAACCAACTCGTTACGTTTTCGACACAGCAGCGGGTAACGTACTTATGTTACTATTTCAAGTAACGTAGTTACGTTAGTCGTTACTACTTCCCAAGTCTTAAAGAAATTATGCTTAAATTGTTTCCGTGTTTTAGGCGTCAAGCCATGTTTTTCTTTGCGTTTTTTCTCGTAAGTATTTAGGTGAAACCGTAAAAAGAGATAAAGCAATTATGTTCAGTTTCCGCATGAACATAACGTTTCTTGGTATATGACCTGTATCGTCAAAACCGTAAAATGTGTTAAATCATAATTTAAAAAAGTAACGCAGAGGTAACGTGCCCTACTTTTCATCGGTAGCGGTAACGCGTTACTTTTATTTTTAGATCACGTAGCACAGTAACGCGTACCTTTTATATGCTAGTAACGAGTAACGTATTTCGTTACTTTTTTTTTGTAACGCCTACAACACTGCCGTTCTGTCGCCGATACCCTTCTGCTTGGTAGCACGGGCGTAGCGAGCCTCCGACGAGCGCTTGGCCGATGCGTTGTGCGCGAGCACCGTCGGAACAAAATCTGGGCGGTCTCGATCAGACAGCGGTTTCCCTGCACATAAGCAAGCCTCAGGACGGAGATTGAAATGGAAGCCCCACTTGCCTCTAAGAAAGTGATTGCCGCACAAACGGTCGTTCGCGCGAGGCGACCATTCTTTTCGATCCACGGATATTATCCACCTTCTATGCCTTTCAAAGTCTGCCGGGAACTTGTGGAAACTCACTCCGCTGCTTTTCTTGTACATTTCGGTGCAATTAACGGCAACACAGCTTCGCGGCATGCTGAAATGCTATGACGCCCATGCGAAACGTGTGCGCTTTTGCCCACACCCCCCGGCTCCGGCGCGATCGCAGCGCCGCCGCAGCTCCGTGACGTCAAGCCCGCGTGTCGGTGTATAAATGAAAATGATAAATTATTCATCTTCAACATTTGCTTGGATATCGCTTTTTGCTGTATTTATACGCCACCTATGCTAAAGCCTGTATACGTATCAGAACAATAGTTGAGCTTCTACGAAGCTTCACAAGGAACATATAACATGCACGAAAACACAAATGCAGTTGATAACCTAAACAAAAGTACGGCACGCTGGTTTTGCCACCATCCTTTCTTCCTTTCCTTTGGCACTTCTCTTTCCCTTTTTGTCCCTACTAATACACTATCAAAGATGCCCTTTTTATATTAAAATATTGTGTTTGCGTTTTTCTTTTGCCATTATGTTTTCTGGGTATTATTACCCCTCCCCTTTGTAATGCCTAACGATCTTGAGGGTAAATTTTTAAATACTATTGCTGTTCCTTAGGCGTTCTTCGCCATGTCATGCAAGAACAAAAACAAAATATTCTTACTGGAGTTCTTTGGGAAGTAAGTGTTTGCTTGATGGCCCGTAATTAAAAGCAGCAGCCCACTATGCAAAACCAAGACTTGCTGAATTGAAAGTTAGGTCCTTTTAGTTGTACACTTACTTTTTTGTGGCACATTTGGCTTCGCCACGGCAGGCTCGGGCTGAACGACTGGCTTCACTACCATTGTCATGGTGTCCGTTGTAGTCTCCTCTGTCGTAATCCCTTTGGCATGAGTTGGTGCCATCGGTCCCTCGACACCTGGCACAACAGGAACGTCAGGAGCAAACCCCTTGGCAGCTTCACTTCCATTTTTGTCGGTACCTTCACCTGGCACATGCGAGTTCTAAGGCTTAGTCACAACGGCAACCGACCTTTTTCCTACAACAGATTTTGTTTCTCTAGAAACACGCTCTGGCTTTAAGTACTACCAGTAGGGAGATAAGACCTCACTGTTCACCGTCTAAACATTCCGCAATTTCCACTTTCTCAGTTTGTAACACGCCACGTATATTAAATAGTAAATTATTAATCTTCAACAAATGCTTGGATACCGTTTGCTACTGCATTTATGCTCCACTCCTGCTGAAACTAGAACACAGAACAGAACAATGGTTGAACTTCTAAAAAAACTTCACACGAATACAAAACATGTACGAAAACACAAATGCAGTTGATAACCTAAACAAAAGTGGGGCAGACTGGTTTTGCAACCATTAATGACCGAGCGAATTTGAAAGATGCTCGTTCTATCTCTTATTTTCAACTATGATTTCTGTGTTTTTTTCGCGTGCGTTTTTATTCCATTATGTTGTCTACTTTTTTTACCACTCCCCTTTGCAATGCTTAACGACCACTAGGGTAAATAATAAGATACTGTTGCTGTTCCTTAGGCGTTGTTCACCATATGTTATGTAACAACAAACAAAATATTCTTACTTGAGTGCTTTGGGAAGGAAATGTTTGCTTGATGGCCTGTAATTAAAGGCAGCCACATTACCCCACTATACAAAAACAACTCTCGCTGAATTGAAAGTTAGCTCCTTTTAGATGCACACCAACCTTTTTGTGACACATTGGGCTTCTCCACGGCAGGCTCGGGCTGAATGACTGGTTTCACTACCACTGTGATAGTGTCTGTTTTTGTCTCCTCTGTCGTAGTCCCTTTGGTATGATTTGATGCCACCAGTTCGTCGACACCTGACACTACACGAACGTCAGGATCATAGCCCTTGACAGCTTCACTTCCATTTTTGTCGGTACCTTCTCCTGGCAAATGCGAGATTTTATGTTAACTCTCAGCGGCAAATGGCCCCTTTCCTGCATCGGATGTTTTTTCTCTAGAAGCACGCTCTGCCTTTAAATTCTGCCAGCTGGGAGATAATACCCCGGCTGCTTACTGGCTATACGCTTCGTGACCGCCAGTTTCTTGGTTTGTAACACACGACTTAAATGAAAATAATAAATTATTCATCTGTAACATCTGCTTGGTTACCGTTTGCTGCTGCATTTATACTGTACTCCTGCTAAAACTAGAATACGCAGCAGAACAACTGCTGAACTTCCAAGAAACTTCACACGAACATATAACATGTACGAAAACACAAATGCAATTGATTACCTAAACAAAAGCGGGGCACACTGGTTTTGCCACCATCCTTTCTTCCTTTCCTTTGGTACTTCTCTTCCCCTTCATATCCCTTCATATCCCCTCTAATACACTATCAAAGATTCCCGCTCTTTTATTTTAAATATTATTGTGTTTTTTTTTTTTGCCAGTATATTTTCTGGGTATTTTTATCACTCCCTTCTGTAATGCCTAACGACCTTGAGGGTAAATGTTTGAATACTGCGGCTATTCCTTAGGCGTTCTTCGCCAGGTCATACAAGAACAAAAACAAAATATTTTTACTGGAGTTCTTTGGGAAGGAAGTGTTTGCTTGATCGCCCGTAATCAAAAACAGCAGCCCACTATGCAAAACCAAGACTTGCTGAATTGAAAGTGAGGTCCTTTTAGTTGTACACCTACCCTTTTGTGGCACATTTGGCTTCTCCACGGCAGGCTCGGGCTGAATGACTGGCTTCACTACCAATGTCATGGTGTCCGTTGTAGTCTCCTCTGTCGTAATCCCTTTAGTATGAGTTAGTGTCACCGGTTCGTCGATACCTGACACTACAGGAACGTCAGGGTCATACCCCTTGACAGTTTCACTTCCATTTTGGTCGGTACCTTCACCTGGCATATGGGAGATTTTATGTTAAGTATCAACGGCAAACGCCAACCTTTTAGGCATCAGACGTTTTTTTTCTAGAAACACGGTTTGCCTTTACATTCTGCCAGCTGGGAGATAACACCCCGGCTGCTCACTGAATAGTCACTTCGTGACTGCCAGTTTCTTGGGTTGTAACACACCACGTAAATGAAAATAAATTATTCATCTTCAACATCTACTTGGATACCGTTTGCTGCTGCATTTATACGCCATTCCTGCTAAAACTAGAATACGAAGCAGAACAACGTTTGAACTTCCAAGAAACTTCACACGAACTCATAACATGTTCGAAAACACAAATGCAATTGACAAGCGAAACAAAACTTACACACTTCAAGGACATCACTTTTCAAGGCCTAAGAAACCACTGAAGTTCGTGGTCCAAACCAAACGATGGCTTCTTAACAGCGTTTCCGTGACTTAGTATTGTGAGCGATTCTTTTATCACACGTTTTTGTCATCTTTTTCCTTTTCTTTCATTGGCGTGAAATTCCACAACGGTATATGTACAATTCTTCCATTCGACCAGATGTTTCGAAACTTCAGAGTGTGGGTCCTTTTTCTTTACATAGCGGTTATGTTCCGTCAAACGCTTATTTATACAACGCTTAGTTTGTCCGATATAGAAAAGGCCACACAAAAAGGGCATCTTATAAATGACACCTGACATACTATCCACATATTTTTCTTTGTGTTCTTCCCCACAACCTGAAATAGTCGACGCAAGGGGGTCAAACGGTTCAATCAATAATCCGTGCTAAATGCCGTGTCGATATTGTGAGACACCATGAAAATACGGAAGGACAACATGCTCTGACGATCTAGTACATTTTTGTAACTGGCTTTTTTGGAGGTAGCAGATACGCCAATTGCCTTAAAATTAGCTCCTGAAGACAACCTGCAACGCCGAAACTGTCGGCCAGACAACGAAGAGATGAGCGAATCGAATGCGAGCAAGACTCCTGTGCTGATGTTTTTAACAAGATTCGTAATTATCCCTAATTTCACATGCTTCGAGTGACAGCTGCTGAAGGGAAGAAGAGGTTTTTCTACACCCTTCCCGTATTCCCAACCCAGACCTGAATTAGTTCTCAGTTGAAGATCGAGCTATTGAATGCGACCATCCTTCGGTCTCTCCGTGGAAAACTAACTCGGGCGTTCCTTCGACCGCTGCCTTCAGCATGCCATAGACTGTCGGGGACGTCTATGTAGAGCAAACCAAGATGTTATCGCCGTATCTCTTCACCAGTATTTCATTAGGGGGCCTACTATTAAAACACTCAAGACATAAATCGAGACTCCTTAGATAGATATCCGAGAGAGCTTGGGCTACCGTTGAAACAGTACACAGTCCTCGATATCGGAGATATTTATCTAAAGACTCTAAGGACTATCCATGTTCAACTCGCTCGCCTTTATCAATCCAGTTTATCTAAAAACTCTCGATTTATGTATTCTTGAGTTTTTTAATACTATGTCACCTAATGAAATACTGGCAAGGAGATACGTCGATGACAATTTGGGTTTGCTCTAAAGATGCGTCCCTGGCGGAGCCTATACTGAAGGTAGTGGCCGAAAAAGCCCAATAGTTAAAGCTTTCCACGGAGAGCCCGAAGGATGGTCGCCTTCAAAAGCTCGATCTTCAACTCCGAGCTAGTTCAGGTCTGTGTTGGGAATATGGGAAGGCCGTAGCGAAACTTCTTCCCTTCAGCAGCTGCCACTGGAAGCATGTGAAATTGGGGATAATTAGAAATATTTTAAAAGCATCAGTACAGAAGCCTTGCTCGCGTTTGATTGGCCCATCTCTTCGTGGTCTTACCGAACGTGTTGGCGTTGCGAATTATCCTCAGGAGATAATTTTAAGATCATTGGTGTAGCTTCCACGTCCAAAAACGTCAGTTCAAAAATGTACTAAAACTTCAAAGCGGGTTGTCCTTTATTTTCATAGAGTGTCCCACAATATCAAAGCGTTAGCCAACAAGTTCAATGTCGACACAGCGTTTAGAAAGGATTATAAATTGAACCGGTTGATCCAATCTGCGTCAACTAATCCAGGTTGTGCAAAAAAAAAAAAAAAACGAAAAAGATGTGGATTGTGTGTAAGGTGTCATTTATAAGACACCCTTTTACGGTTGACAGAACATAAGCGCTGTATAAAGAAGAAGGAACCGTACTCTGAAGTTTCCAAACATCTGGTCGAATGTAAGAATTGTATACCGTTGTGGGATTTGACATAAGTGGAAGAAAGGAAAAAAGATGACCACAAACCTTTGATAAAAGAGTCGCTCACTATACTAAGTTACGGGAACGCTGTTAATACGCCTTCATTTGGTTTGGACCATGAACTTCGGCGGTTGTTTAGGCTTTGAAAGGTGTTGTCCTTAAAGTTTGTATAAGTTTCCAGAAAGAAAAGTTGTTTTGTTTGTTTTGGGTCGGGGTGACAGTTTCAGAGATAAGAGAGGAGGAAGATGTCGCGGGAGACGTCATTGTCGTGCTAACTGTTACGAATGTACATTTGTGGAAAGAGGTGCTCTTGGGCCTTCCCCCTTTTCGTTCGTTTATTTTTCTCTTCTATTTAGCCAGGTTTTAAAAAATAAAATTTCAGCTGTGCTTGAGACTCGAGTGTGTGTGTCGTTACCTGCAGTCTCGGGGTTTTGGAATCATGTAAAATGTAAATCCCCGTTATTTCCCGCAGTTGATGTGCCGCCTTATTTTCGCATTACCTTGCCAACACTCAAGTAGCAGCCTGCTGATCTTATAAATGCATTGGTGTTCATTTCACTTCTGACCTAAACTACTCACATAACCTCTGCTATTGCTGATACTAACCGTACTATCGGATATTTGCGCCAAATCATCAAACTCATGACACCCTCCGTAAAACGACTAGCGTATACTTCTTTTTTCTGACACAAATTAGAATATGCCTCATCTATAAGGTCTCCATGTCAGTTATACCTCACAAATAATTTAGATTCCGTTCAAAACAGAGCCCTTCGTTTTATTTATGACAACTTAACATTACCAGCATATCTAGATTACGCCAATCAGCTAACCTTCATTCACTTTCCCTTCGATGCCGAATGTCACGCATCTCTCCTTCATCGAAGATTCTATCACAACACCCACCTCAGAGAATCATTACTGTCCAATCCCCACCGTATTTTCCCTCGTTTAGATAAGACATGTAATTTACGTTCAATTCGATCATTAACTGTTTCTGACCAGACTTCCACATTACCATTGGCTATCGACAATTGGAACTCACTACCTCACAACATCGTTTCTATTAATGATACTATTACATATGTTTAATACATTACCCTCTTTTCTAACTAAATTAGCTAATTAGCTTACAGTGTTATATTTGTGTTTATTGTACTTTGTTTTATTGACACACCCTCGTATAATGCCCAACGGGCCCTCAACGAAAATAAATGATGATATGTAATGTAACAACAAAAACAAAATATACTTACTTGAGTGTTTTGGGGAGGAAATATTTGCTTGATGGTCTGTAATTTACAACACATTATTCCACTCGCATAAACAACTCGCTGAATTGAAAGTTAGCTCATTTTAGTTCATAAACCTTTTTGTGGCACATTCGGCTTCTTCAAGGCTGGCTCTGGCTGAATGACTGGTTTCACTACCAACGAGATGGTGTCCGTTGTAGTCTCCTCTGTCGTAATCTTTTTGGTATGAGTTGGTGCCGCCGGTCCCTCGACAACGGAAACTACAGGAACGTCAGGATCATACCCCTTGGCAGCTTCACTTCCATTTTTGTCGTTGCCTTCACCTGGTACATGCGAGTTTTAAGGCTTAGTCACAACGGTAGCCGACCCCTTTCCTTGATCAGACATATTTTCTCTAGAAACACACTCTGCCTTTAAATTCCACCAGCCGGGAGAGAACAACCCGCTCTTCCCTGGCTATACCTTCCGCTACTGCCGATTTCTTAGTTTGTAACACGTTAAATATATTAAATAGTAACTTATTCATCTCCAACATCTGCTTGGATACAGTTTGTTGGTGCGTTTATACGCCACTGCTGCTAAATCTAGAACACGAAGCCGGAACAATGGCTGAACTTCTAAAAACTTCACACGAACACATAACATGTACGAAATCACAAACGCAGCTAGTAACCTAAGTCGAAATTGGGGGTTTTACGTGACAAACCAACGACGGGCATCTGGCACGCCCCAGCGGAGGCCTGAGGATTAATTTGGACCACCTGGGGATCTTTCGACGTGCAACCGAAAGCTCGGTTACACGGCGCCTCCTCCCCCGCCACATGGGGATCCGTAGGCCAGCGCTTTCGCCTCGGAGCCACCGAGGCGGCTAGTTAGTAACCTAAACAAAAAAAACAAAAAAGGGGGGGGATACACTGATTTTGCAGCCATTCATGACCAAGATACTTTCAAAGATGCTTTTTCTAACTTCTATTTTGTTTTAAACTATGTGTTTTTGTGTGCTTTTTGACATTTTTTAAAATTTTTTTTACCACTTCCCTTTGTAATGCCTAACGATTTCGAGAGAAAATAATAAAATACTGCTTCTGTTACTTGGAAATTCTTCGCCATATGTCATGTAACAACAAAACAAAAATATTCTTTCTTGAGTGCTTCAGGAAGGAAGTGGTTACTCGATGGCCCGTAATTAAAAGCAGACACATTATCCCACTATGCAAAACCGACACTCACCGAGTTAAAAGTTAGGCCATTTCAGTTGTACACCAACCTTTTTGTGGCACATTTGGATCCTCCACGGCGGGCTCGGGCTGAATGACTGGCTTCACTACCACTGTGATGGTGTCCGCTTTTGTCTCCTCTGTCGTAGTCCCTTTGGTATGATCTGGTGCCACCGGTCCCTCGACACCTGGCACTACAGGAACGTCAGGATCATACCCCTTGGCAGTTTTCACTTCCATTTTTATCGGTACCTTCACCTGGCACATGCGAGCTTTATGGCTTAGTCACTACGGCAACCAGCCCCTTACCTGCATCAGACGTTGTTTCTCGAGAAACACGCTCGGCCTTTAAATTCTACCAGCAGTGAGATAACAACCCGCTACGTATATTAAGTAGCGAATTATTCGTCTTCAACATCTGCTTGGATGCCGTTTACTGCTGCATTTATACGCCACTCCTGCTAACACTAAAACATGGAGGAGAACAATGGTTGAACTTCTTAGAAACTTTACACAAACGCATAACATGTACGAAAACAGAAATCCAGTTGGAAACCTGAACAAAAGTGGGGCATACTGATTTTGCAACCATTCATGACCAAGATACTTTCAAAAATGCTTTTTCTAACTTCTAATTTGTTTCAACCCATGTGTTTTTGTGTTTTTTTTTCTTTTTTACCACTCCCCTTCGTAATGTCTAACGACCCTGAGGGTGAATAATAAAATATTGTTGGTGTTCCTTAGACGTTCTTCGCCATATGTTATGTAACAACAAAAACAAACTGTTCTTTTTTGAGTGTTTTGAGAAGGAGATAGTTGCGTGATGGCCCTTAATTAAAAGCAGCAGCCCACTATGCAAAAGCGACACTCGCCGATTTAAAAGTTGTTGTACACCAACCTTTCTGTGGCACATTTGGCTTCTGCACGGCAGGCTCGGGCTGAATGACTGGCTTCTTTGCCACTGTGATGGTGTCCGTTTTTGCCTCTATTGGAATCCCTGTGATATGAGCTGGTGCCACCGGTCCCGCGACACCTGGCACTACAGGAACGTCAGGATCATAAACCTTGGCAGTTTCACTTCCATTTTTGTCGGTACCTTCACCTGGCATATGCGAGTTTTCACAACGACAACCGACCCCTTTCTTGCATCAAACGTTTTTTCTTTAGAAGCACGCTCTGCCTTTAAATTCTGCCAGCAGGGAGATAAGAACCCGCTGTTCACTGCCTAAACGTTCCGTGACTGCCAGTTTCTTGGTTTGTAACACGCCACATATATTAAATAGTAAACTAATCGTTTTCAATACATGTTCGGGTACCGTTTGCTACTGCATTTACACGTCACTTCTGCTAAAACTAGAACACGGAGCAGAACAATGGTTTAACTTCTAAACTTCACAAAAAACAAAAAAACACATACGAAAACACAAATGCAGCTGATAACCTAAATAAACGTGGGGCAGACTGTTTTTGCAACCATTCATCACCAAGCTAATTTCAAAGATGCTCGTTCTAACTTTTATATTGAACTATGATGGTGTTTTTTTTGTGTGTGTGTGTGCTTTTTTCTGCCATTTTGTTTTCTTCGTTTTTTTTACCACTCCCCTTTATTATGCCTAACAACCTTTAGGTTAAGTAATAAAATACTGTTGCAGTTCCTTAGGCGTTGGTTCACCATATGTCATGTAGCAACACAAACAAAACATTCTTACTTGAGTGCTTTGGGAAGGAAATATTTGCTTGATGGTCTGTAATTAAAGGCAGACACATTAACCTACTGTGCAAAAACTGTCGCCGATTTGAAAGTTGGCGCCTTTTAGTTGTACACCAACCTTTTTGTGGCACATTTTGCTTCTCCATGGCAGGCTCGGGCTGAATGACTGGCTTCACTACCACTATGATAGTGTCTGTACTTGTCTCCTCTGTCGTAATCCCTTTGGTATGAGTTGGTGCCACCGGTTCGTCGACACCTGACACTAGAGGAACGTCAGGATCATACCCCTTGGCAGCTTCACTTCCATTTTTGTCGGTACCTTCACCTGGCATATTCGAGTTTTTAGGCGTAGTCAGAATGGCAACTGATCCTTTTCCTGCATCAGACTTTTCTTCCATAGGAACGATGGCAGAGGATTCAACGTGCGAATCACCAGGTTTGCTGTCTCGGTCTTCATTCTTGCTTCCATCTGCATCCGTGGGCGGATGAATGCTCTTGTCAATATAGGTCTCCGGCATCTCCGCCTTATTCGGACTGGCTGTATCGCCGTTTACGTTGCTCTCACCTTTTTCAGGACTTAGATACTTGTTCTCTTCGGCATGTGATGTTGAAGGTTTTGCTTCAGTTGGGCTATGAATTTCCGCGTTCACATCACTTGAGTCACCCTCATCAGTATTATGATGGATGGTATCGCTTAGCTGGGATCCCAATGGGCCGCCATTACTAGCCGTTTTGGATACTTCTGATTTGTCTGAGACTACTGAGTGCTGTTCCCCAAACTGTCCCATACCACCTTCGGCTTTAGCATTCCCCTGCGATTTCGAGTGAGTCGCATCTGTTGATTCTTTCCCGCGGGATGCACCAGTGCGATGACCTTCAGGTTGATTTTCGTGGCCATGTTGTTGAGGTTCTAATAGCGCTGGTTGTGCACCAGCACGAGGGGCTTCGGGATCGTTTTCGGGCGGACCTTCCTTAGATGCTACTTGGGCAGGTGCAGCACTAGCATCAGGAGCTTCAGGTTTGTTATCACGTTCGCCTTCTTTAGGTATCTCTGGGACAAGCAAAATAATAGCGCGAGGAGCATCAGGTTGATTTTCGAGCCCATCTTCTTCAGCCTCTATTTGGACAGGGGGTTCCCCAGATCGAGAAGCCTGGGGTTGGTTTTCGTGCACTTCTTTATCAGGTTCTACTGCCGTTGATGGCGCATCTGCACGAGGAAATTCAGGTCTGTTTTCGAGCCCAACTTCCCTATGTGGTACTTGAGTTGGCAGAGTACCAGCTCGAGGAATTTCGGGTTGGATTTCGTGCCCACCTTCCTTGTGTGGTTCTTGGGCTGGTAGAGCACCCGCTAGAGGAACTTCAGGTTGGCTTTCGCGCCCCCGTTCTTCGGACTCTACTTGGACAGGTGGGTCCCCAGAACGAGAAGCTTCAGGTTGGTTTTCATTCTTACCTTCATTGGGTACTACTTGGGCGGGTGGGATACCAGCACGAGGAGCTTCAGTTTGGATTTCACGTTCGCCTTCTCCAGGTACTATTTGGACAGATGGGTCACTGGCACGAGGAGCTTCAAGTTCGGTTTCACGTCCGCCTTCGTTCGGTGCTACTTGAACAGGTGAGACACTGGCACGAGCAGCTTCAGTTTGGGTTGCACGTCCGCCTTCTTTAGGTGCTACATGGACTGATGGGTTACCTGCACGAGGAGCTTCAGGTTGGGTTTCAGGTTCGCCTTCTCCAGGTAATATTTGGACAGATGGGTCACTGGCACGAGGAGCTTCAGGTCGGGTTTCACGCCCGCCTTGGTTAGGTGCTACTTGAACAGGTGAGACACTGGCATGAGGAGCCTCCGTTTGGGTTTCCTTTTCGCCTCTTCCAGGTACTATTTGGACAGATGGGTCACTGGCACGAGGAGTTTCAGGTTGGATTTCACGTCCACCTTCTTTAGGTGCTACTTGGACAGATGGGTCACTGGTACGAGGAGCTTCAGGTTGGGTTTCACGTCCGTCTTCGTTAGGTGCTACTTGAACAAGTGAGACCCTGACATCAGGAGCTTCAGTTTGAGTTTCAGGTTCGCCTTCTCCAGGTAATATTTGGACAGATGGGTCACTGGCACGAGGAGCTTCAGGTCGGGTTTCACGTCCGCCTTGGTTAGGTGCAACTTGAACAGGTGAGACACTGGCTTGAGAAGCGTCAGGTTGGGTTTCACGTCCGTTTTCTTGTACTAGTTGGACAGGCGGGACACTAGCACGAGGAGCTTCAGGTTGGGTTTCACGTCCGTTTTCGTTAGGTGCTACTTGAACAAGTGAGACCCTGACATCAGGAGCTTCAGTTTGAGTTTCAGGTTCGCCTTCTCCAGGTACTATTTGGACAGATGGGTCACTGGCACGAGGAGCTTCAGGTTGGATTTCACGTCCACCTTCTTTAGGTGCTACTTGGACAAATGGGTCACTGGTACGAGGAGCTTCAGGTTGGGTTTCACGTCCGTCTTCGTTAGGTGCTACTTGAACAAGTGAGACCCTGACATCAGGAGCTTCAGTTTGAGTTTCAGGTTCGCCTTCTCCAGGTACTATTTGGACAGATGGGTCACTGGCACGAGGAGTTTCAGGTTGGATTTCACGTCCACCTTCTTTAGGTGCTACTTGGACAGATGGGTCACTGGTACGAGGAGCTTCAGGTTGGGTTTCACGTCCGTCTTCGTTAGGTGCTACTTGAACAAGTGAGACCCTGACATCAGGAGCTTCAGTTTGAGTTTCAGGTTCGCCTTCTCCAGGTACTATTTGGACAGATGGGTCACTGGCACGAGGAGCTTCAGGTTGGATTTCACGTCCACCTTCTTTAGGTGCTACTTGGACAGATGGGTCACTGGTACGAGGAGCTTCAGGTTGGGTTTCACGTCCGTCTTCGTTAGGTGCTACTTGAACAAGTGAGACCCTGACATCAGGAGCTTCAGTTTGAGTTTCAGGTTCGCCTTCTCCAGGTACTATTTGGACAGATGGGTCACTGGCACGAGGAGCTTCAGGTTGGATTTCACGTCCACCTTCTTTGGGTGCTACTTGGACAGATGGGTCACTGGTACGAGGAGCTTCAGGTTGGGTTTCACGTCCGTCTTCGTTAGGTGCTACTTGAACAAGTGAGACCCTGACATCAGGAGCTTCAGTTTGAGTTTCAGGTTCGCCTTCTCCAGGTACTATTTGGACAGATGGGTCGCTGGCACGAGGAGCTTCAGGTTGGATTTCACGTCCACCTTCTTTAGGTGCTACTTGGACAGATGGGTCACTGGTACGAGGAGCTTCAGGTTGGGTTTCACGTCCGTCTTCGTTAGGTGCTACTTGAACAAGTGAGACCCTGACATGAGGAGCCTCAGTTTGAGTTGCAGGTTCGCCTTCTCCAGGTAATATTTGGACAGATGCGTCACTGGCACGAAGAGTTTCAGGTTGGATTTCACGTCCACCTTCTTTAGGTGCTACTTGGACAGATGGGTCACTGGTACGAGGAGCTTCAGGTTGGGTTTCACGTCCGTCTTCGTTAGGTGCTACTTGAACAAGTGAGACCCTGACATCAGGAGCTTCAGTTTGAGTTTCAGGTTCACCTTCTCCAGGTAATATTTGGACAGATGGGTCACTGGCACGAGGAGCTTCAGGTCTGGTTTCACGTCCGCCTTGGTTAGGTGCAACTTGAACAGGTGAGACACTGGCATGAGAAGCGTCAGGTTGGGTTTCACGTCCGTTTTCTTGTACTATTTGGACAGGCGGGACACTAGCACGAGGAGCTTCAGGTTGTAGGTTCGCCGATGAAAACGGTCCCGACCCTTTTAACAGTTCTGGTGATAGTCCTGAACGGTCCCCTTTTCCGAAGTGGTCATGGGTTTCAGCTTTGTTCGGCGATACCTTCAGTGGCATCGTAGTTGGATAAACATCCTTAGAGGTCAAATCCTCTAACACGGCGGTTTGGGATGTAGAATAGTTAGGATTAGAATGACTTATGACTTGATCTTTTTTTAAAGGTGGCTCATTTTCGAAACTGGGAGGAGTTGAGTGCTTTTCTCTGAAAGGAACAGCAAGTAACGTGCCCGTTGCCGTGTCTAGGCTGGCATTTTGTTCACTCCGACCTTGTGACACTAATGTTGTTCCGTCTGTAGATACCTCGGCTCGCTTTCTAAACCTCGGGCGTTCCTCGGCTGCTTGTGCGTCTGATACGAGAGTCTCTATTGTAGTTTCTTTATACATTTCTCTAGCTTCACTTTTTTCTTTATCAGGCTTCAATGTTGTTTGATAAGTTACAGCGCGAGTGACAGTCTTTGAAACGTCTCCATAAAGATGTGTGGTACTGGTATCAACGAAAACATCACTGTTATCAGTTGTCGCTCCAACATTAGACCTCTTAAGAATCCTTTTTGGGCGACTGGCCTGTGCCTGGTCCTTCCAGGCAGAAGCTGTTTCGAGCAGGTGGTAGGGAGCTGAAGCAACATTCGTAGCGGTATTTTCCGTCGATGGTTTGTCAGAGATGTCGGTCGTGGCAGCCCACTCTAGTGGCAAAGTGACTGAAAGTAGATCCGTCGTCTTCTTAACCTCGATAACTTCAACGGGAACCGCTGTTTCAAAGGCAAAGATATAACGATGGTAATAAATAATATTATGACAACCCAGTCTCCTTGGCTTAAGCATGCAAGAAGGCTACGTGACTATGTTTCCCCTATACACTAAACAGGCCTTTTTTTTATGCTATTCTTATTTTAGTAATCCGAAGCTGTCAGTTTCCCTTTTCATTTGTATGTATGGCTCTGAGGTGTTATAATACAAGATACTGTTATAGTAAATAATTGATGCGTCTGAAAGTAATAATATTGTCAATAGACAAATTGATTATTTCATGATTTAGTCGTTAACACTTGATAATTTGACGCCTCAGGAACGTTAATAATTTAAATCCACTTTGTTCCGTGAACCTGCCACGTATTTCTTTTAGTCAGGAGAAGCTCTTTAAAGCTCTTTATTAAATTATATCAGCCAATATGTGCCATAAACCGTCACTGAGGGGCTTGCTTTGCTATCAGTGCCACCTGTCGAATGCTCCGCAAAGCTTGATGTGATCTCAGAGCGAACCTTCTCTCGTTGCGCCGCACTTAATATTTGAGTAGTCTGCTAGCAATAGGCCGATGGTCACTAGCAGACGACACAAGAGTTGAACGTGACGCAAAGAAAGCATGCCTTTCCAAGAGACCACTTAAGCTTCGTGGGTCATTCTGATGGTGCCAGTGAAAGTACCACGCCAAGCGGTTCCACGTTGTACATTCTAAAAACAGGAATCGTTTGTAAGATCAACATCTTTTATGTGAAAAAGTACCCGCTCTGGTAGCGACAATTTGTTAGATGTGCAAATTATGTAGGATAGGCGTAACGCAGAGTTAGAGCTGCAAAAATAAAACTCACCAGAACGTTCTGACAGCTCCGGGGATCGGTCTTTGGCATTTTGATAGTTCTCGTTTGATGATCCTGGCCAGATATCAATCCCAGGTACTGTAGGATGAGATCTCGTGCACGTGATCAGAGATGCGACCAAGATAAAACCTGTAAAACGCAGTTGTAGAAAATTGGCAGAAAGCTTTGTTTAAAATCATATAATGCATGAAATGCAGTATTTAAGAACGATCGTACTAATTTATTTTTAAAATATTACACAGTCGTTTCGGGAAGTGAAGGAACTATGTTTAAATTCATTTAACGGTGAAACTAAAGTGTAGAGACGTGTAGGGATGTGCAAACGGTTAAATTTTACCTCGAATTGAATTCGAATCGAATAGTGTTGTATAATAAACAATAATTCGATTATCGAACCAAATACGAATTCCATAAAGTTTATTCTTAATATTCACAAAACTAAAAAAAAAAAAACGAAGCCACATAAATAAGAAACACACAAAAAAAACACTTTATTTTCCTGCAGGGCACGCGAAACGAAGAGAAGCTAGCACGAATAAAAGCGGTGTTAATGGCCACTCTTAAACGGCAAACTTAAGATGTAGCTAACAATTGCATCAATCCATCTACGTGTGGATCACGGTGAGCTGAATAAATGGAAATGGCTGAACTCCGCAGTGAATCGGGTGACGCCTTGCCGTCAGCTAACCCTGGCATTTCACTCTACGCCGCGAAGAGCGACGGGTTAGCAAAACAGACCAGTTTAGTTACAGCTGCTATTTGAAATTTGATCCTAATTTGGCATATTATGGACGCGACAACCGAGGATAGGTTTATAATGCACAGGTGTGGCCAGAGGGCAGGCAAGGCCCTTGAATTCAAAAGATGGACGTGCGTGGTTTTCGGGTTTTCGTTGAGCACGCCCAAGCAGCTTGGAGCATGACCGCCTCTTTTTAGAAACACAGGAGACGAACTACTTCCTCTTGAAATTGTTCGCTGGTCAAAGCTGTCGAATACAGGCTTGATTTGGATAAAACACAAGCCTTTCAGAACTATTTTACCATGTGAACATCGTTCCAGAATTAACCTGAATTTTTTTCACAACAGTACTGTTATGATATAAATTAAATTATTTGAAAACTCTAATACAGGGAATTTGAGAGTTGAATCAAATTGTTTGCACAATCATTCGATTCGCATTCGAAGATCGAATATTCGCACACCCTTAGTAACGTGACATCAGCCTCCACGACAAGTTTACCAAGCGAACTGAATTAGTGTATCGGACACGTGACATCAGGTCACGTGACGTGAATACTCCAGCCAACTATAGCGGGCAAACCAAATTAGTGTAGTACCGTGAGACCAGGTCACATGATATTAATTTTCCTGCCAAACTTAGCGAGAAAGCTGAATTGATGTATGGATCACGTGAGCCCAGATCAAGTGTCATTACTTTTCCCGCCAAGTTTAGCGGCGGGAAAATTGAATTGGTGTATAGGCCAAGTAACGTCAGGTCACGTGACATCAATTTCAACAGCCAAATTTACCAATTACTGGGGAGGCTGAGATGATGCGTTGATCTCAGGCTACCTGACATTAAGTTTCCCGGAAAATTTTAGCAGGGATACTGAATTAATGTATAGGACTCGTAACGTAACGTCAATTTTCCCGCTAAATTTAACGGGGGAAACAGAATTGGTGTTTAGGTCACGTGACGCCAATTTTCACGGTAAATTGTGCTGTAAGTGCACGGGTGGACGGACGGACGGACAGAATTTTGGGATTGGGGTCTCAGTTAAACAGCATTTTATGATTTGAAGTATCGAACCAGAATGAGAAGCACTCACCAATGTTGCAGATTGTTTTTGTTCAGCCTACGTGTGCTGGATCGGGACAGTCATGTTCTGGTTACAAAGGTCGTCCGCGTGTGCAAATATTTCATTCAAATTCCAGGAATTTGAACGAAATTCGATGTTCCGTGGGCGTGTTAAAAGTCACCGGCATGAGTTTCTTCCGAAAATGCTCCCAGAAGGGTGAAACAGGAAGCACTACTTCTGGTTTTGCATAGTCTCAGTTGTAATTCTCAAAGGTAAACAAAAGTTTTATATTGACGGCTCTATTGCCATAACTACGTATCTTCATAATCTGTGCAAAGTTCTATCTAAATTATGAATCTCCAGTTTGAATACATCTTGAGCATTCAACAATCTGCTTATATCGCAAAGGTACGTGATGGGAGTGCATTATAATTTGTTTTATGGCCTAGTTCTTGCTTGAACAGCCCATCTTTTGCTAGCAACCAATTATATTACGTGGTAATTTGAACACATCTAGGCATATATTTCTTTCAAGTATATTGCGTGCCTGCTTTTGGGGTCCAATGAGCCAGTCTTGGACAAGTTACTCCAAAAAGGTGTCAACTACAATTTCTCTTGGTTAAAAAGTATTAAATTAGATTACTCAATTACTTGAAAAGAAGAGTAGTTAGCCGTTACTTGATGAAGCAGGGATGGGCAAAATACATGCAAATATGTGTCGAAATACAGATACAAAATACTTCGTCAAAAATGTATTTAATTACAAACCTAATTACATTTCCAAAAAAGCAATTAAGTACAATATAGAAATACAACCAAATGTATTTGGTCTCCTTCAAATACTTTTCCAAATACATTCCTCAAAATTTGCGTCAGCGACTTCAGGGCACCTGCGACGGGTTTCTGGGTATCTCATTTTAATTTTGCATAGCACACTCGGGAGTTAGTGTGCAAATCTCTAGTAACGTAATAGAAATATAATCACAAAAAACGTGTAATCAGCTTGGACGTAATAGGTGAAAAAAGCACAGAGCTTCAAGCAGCTTTTTTTTTGTCGATTGCGTTTTGGTATAGACCAACAAAGAACCGAGACGACCAAGACGC